GTCATTATTGGCAACTTTGTAGTAATTATTAAGCGTGATCATGAAAAACTAAGAAAAGATGTTCGTTTTTTAGGATTACATTGAAAGAGATGTTTACAAAATCAAATGTTATTTTAACTTTCATTGTCACAAAACACATATTCAAACGCTGAAAGGTTTCATGGTGTTTCTTTTCAAAATTATTAATATTATAATAAGCTGTTACTTTAGATTCGTAAATCTCTAAATCGTAAATGTCAATCGACGTCGTATGTTTTTTTTTATATTAAAATAATACATTGTTGCTTTCTGCTTTCGATTTCGATGTAGAATGCTTTGAATTAAACAATTTCAAACATTTTCGTTCTTTAGAGTTAGCATTATTTTTAATAAATTCAAAAAAAGAAATAATCGATTGTAACAAAATTTATGTCAATTTCAAACTTTTAATTGGATGTATTACATTTTTAATTCTTCAAAATTTCTTATTAGTAACTTATCCAGGCTTGAAAACTTCGAAAGAAATGATCGTTCCATTCGATGAATTGATGGAATGAGTTTAAATGGAAAATAATTGGATACTTTCAATTATTATCATAGAGATTTGAGTATGCTTTTTAATTTCAACTATAGATGTACGTGTGGGTGAGAGCTTGAAGTATGCATATCGATGTACTTCTCGTTTCTATGATTTGTCAACCGAGAGAATTTTGGGGTGTGGGTGCTGTTCGTCCCTTCAAGCACATCCATACCTACACCCTAGATCTTAAAGAGACGAAGGAAAACATTTTCAGTTTTATCATGACTTTCGAGCTTTTCTACAACTGGAACATTGGTCTACACTCTTGATATTGTTTTCCTCAAGTGTTATATCATTTATTTCTCTTGTAATATGTGAAACAAAATATCCTATCGTTAAATGCAAATGCTTTTCATTCTTATAATGAAATTATTTCAAACAATTTTCATTTCAAAATGTCTGAAAAAATATTTAACAATGGACAAACATCTATTCTGACCTTTAATGAGATTCAAAAAGGTTTTCATATAAATGTCCAAGAGAAACCACTACAAATCCTGTATCTGCAAATATCGCCTTGTTTCCAACACCCGCACTCAATCGAAATAAAGATTATACTGACAATAGTTTGACAAAAGATTTGAATAGATGAAAAAACAAAAAAGTATTGAAATAATTTTTTTAATGAAAGCTAAATAGTATGAAGGAAGAGATTCTTTTATCTGATCGACAATTCGCATAAAAGACAAAAAAAATAATTCGTTATATATTCATCCTACAATCAATAATTCAGGCGCAAGTTACTTGTAATCATCTAAAACTAAATCAACAAATTCAATGAAAAAAATGCACAATCGTTGAGTACTATGATCAACTACTAAATTCATATGTTTATTTTTCACTTGGATTTGTTGTTATCATCTCTCAAGTTGACATCTATGGAAAATAGTACTGCACTCTGAGTGTATAATGTAACTTCACAGACAGTGAACCTTTAGGTACCTACAGGAATATATCTATTTCATTGATCAATATGAAAACATTCATGACATATTAATTAAGCTGAAGAGATTTTAGTAAAAATATCTTTTACAATTTAAGATTTTCAATAACCAAAACAATACTGTTGTTTCTTGTATTTCCTCCATTCCAACAATTCAATTGATATCAACAACTAACATATTTAACAAGATAATCGCAACAAATGATTTACTGATAAATTTCGAAGAAAAAACTTACCATTGAACGTCAAAAGCACGGCATTCTTCTTATTTTTACCCATTACTTCAAATTACGTTCAAATTATGTATATTTACATATTGGTGTCTTCAATGCAATCGACTATGGAAAACTACTCATAGAATCTAGAAATATTATTCCTTTAACACCACAGCTCTCTATTTAAACTGTATTAAATGAATAGGATTTTTGTCTATAGAGAGATCTCGAAAACTAAGAAAAGAAATAATATATACTGCATTATCAGCTGTATACTTTCAGTGGAATTCATGGTTCTGAAGTATGTACCTCAGCATGCCTTTTTTTTTTATCATATTCATTAGTATTTCTTAGAAATCACCAATGTATTAAATACATGTCATTGATAATTTTTTGTGTCTATTTTACAAAAAAATTTTGCGATATCTACAGAACACGCTTACTATCGAAAATATTTCTAATTTTATGCAATTATCATTCATACTGAGATCAAGAGAATATTGTCTTATCCTAGAAAAACTTTTCTCAGATATTACGAAGCTTTTTCCTCAACAACAACAAAAATGATTAATATAGGAGGATGAAACAAAGTTTCATGAGTAGAACTATTTTAATATATGAAACATATTTCACCTGAAAGTGAATTCTCATAGTAAAAGATGATCTTTTAGATGTTCATATTGAGATCAATCAATTAGTTTTTGTAATGAAACGAGAAGTTTTGATATGAAGACGAACAATATAAAACACTATTTGTCGATTCATTGATAAATCTTTCACTTGAACGATTATCAACATAAGCTTTCAAAACAATTCCGCGAATTATATTTTTGACAGTATGTTTCTGTATTTTTCATACGAAAAATTTCAAAATCCTTTATATATAAAAGAAGACAAAAAATAAAAATTGTTTTTCTATAGTTACTATTCGCATCTTTTTTCTTTTGAAGTTTGAATAGAAAAACAATCACGAACTGAGAATTTGAATTTAAATATATTACTCATTCGTTTTTCCTTCAATTTTAATGTATTTGTTTTCTGTTTATACAGAAAGCAATTATCCTCTCAAACAACGTTTCTTCTTCCTACCATTCAGCAACAAGCACACGACATATGAGTCGTCCTTATACATTACACTTGAACAAGGAGAGAAATGAACGTAACCGCCGATCACATATCGTTTTACAGATGAATCTATTCAAAGAGATATGTGTACAGACGAACAATATGTCGTGTCCTGTTTCACGTACGATGTGTTTTCTTCAACACTTCAACTCTATCATAATTGAAACATGCATAACTTAATAAAACCAGTTCCGTGTGTTGTCAGAAAGGTCATGTAGTGATTATGGAATTGATAAAAATAATCTGAAAAGTACATATCCTAATAATAACTATTTTCAATTATTAACCTATTGGTACATCGCCGATGGAGTTTAATCTGAATACTTGAAGCTATATTCATTCTAATGATAAACGTATGCTAGCTAAAATTAAAGTGTGCTTATTGAGATTCGTCAACAATTGATGGTTTGAGATTGTAAAAGAAATTCAATTTAATCATCATGTTTCGTATGCATATTGTTTCCGAAAAATTTGTATGATTCTTTCTATTAATATTTATGAAACTCCTACATTTTAAATGTTAACTTGAGTACTATCTCAGTGTAATCTATTACATACAGAAGATTTGTTTTGTTTTGGTTCGATCGAAATGTCTTTTATTGTCTGAAGTATTTTAGAAAAAATGATGTGATTTAATACATTATATGTAAGATGATGTTAAATAAAAATCAGTAATTCTAAAAATTCATTTTTGCAACAAGAACGTTTTTTTTTTGTTGGAACTAAATTGTTTTTTTTTATTTTATTGAATTTATCGAGAGATATTTACGGAGGACATAGTGATAGAATGAGTTTTTTAAAAATTTCAGAAGCAAGAACCGAGTATAGACGCAAACAAAATTTTCTGTTTTTTTGAAATACAATTTTCAAAAAGAATCATTATTGATGTTGATGTAAATGTGTATCTGCTATCATGATGAGTATATTTTAAAAAAAGGAAATGGTAATTTAAATCTATATTCAATTCTATAAAAGCTATCCACATATTTGAACTTGTTCCGACTATCTTCACCATAGTCGGAACAAAACAAAGTCATGATGACTTTATTCGTTGCATTAGTTCTTTTACTGAGAGAACATTTTTTTTTTGGTTTTCTGTTTCGTTCTTTTAGAATGTCATAATTCAAGCAAATTCGTTTTCGAGAAGAGATTTTAAAAACAGAACGCCACAACATGAGAAGAAAGAAAAAAAATTGAAAAAAACTGTCATCAAAACAACAAAAAAAATGTGCTTATTGAAGAAAAAAACAAAAGCATGCATTCTTTTTTTCTTTCGTTTGTCATCTATTTTTCAAGGATATTTTATATTCTTGACATACGAAATTTTTTTTATCAGAGACGAAAGCAAACCAAACAAAACCTGAAAGAACATAAGGTTTAAGTTTTGACAAATACGTTTCTAGATACTGTATATAAATCGTCATAGAAAATCAATGTCTTTATTTCATTTTAGGTTTATCTGACTGAAACAGATACAAAATGAAAACTTAATTTTTAATCCAGAAGATAACATGACATTATTTGTTTGTTGAAATCAAATAATAGGTTGGAATATATTTAACGAAAAGAAAATGATTTTATCAATTTCCTGTTGTTTACTTGAAAACAAAATAGTTATATTATTATCATTGTTGAAGAATCTAATTTTTCTGTGTAATCTCAATAACTTGATAACAGCAATAGCCAGTGTTGCTTGTGCCTTTCACAACAATTAAACTAAGAGAACCCTATGAGAAGCCTTTTCATCTGATAGTATTAAAGAGAAAACTACTTTGTAATCTATGCTCCTTGTAAAAAATTTAAAAACATACATGAGAAAATTGTTTCACTTCAAGTAAATTTTAATAACAAAAATTTGTGCGAAGTTGTTCGATTTAATGTTCTACACTAACGATCTATTTTGAAAATCATCCTACGGTACATAGCATGAGATAAAACAATGTCCGATAGAGTTCTCCTCTTTCGACTAGTGAAATTTCTGGGTTACTATGTGTTTTTGTTGAGGAGTTATTGTATATCTGGCGATGACTTTTGTTTTCGGACACACATTAGTTATTAGTTTTAAGCCAAAAACTTAAGCGCCATTGTTGATTAGAGTTACGAAAACTCAAGATTACATTTCACAGTGCAGAATTTGATTTTCATAAATAATATATCCTTATATTTGATGTGCATCAATAAAGACGACAAGCACAAGATGATCTGTTGTACATATCCACAATTGTTGTTTTTTCATAAATGATCTAACTAACGAGTATTATATATATATATTAATAAAACGATTATTTTATTTTTTAATTCAAATTTTAATAGGCATTGTGTTTAAATGAAAGAAAAGACTTTATTATATATGTACTTTTTATTTATAGAAATTTTGCTCTTATATAACTGAAATTGAGAGCTGATTGTGAATGTAGCAAATAATTATTAAATTTATTATGTCTTAAATTAGAAAAGTCTTTCAATCAATCCTATATACTTATTTTCTTATAAGACCTTATTTAATAAGTAAGAGAATTTGTTTTTCTTGTATGGAATCCTATTGAGAAGCATAAAAATCGATCAAAATATGTTAATATTAATCGAAATAGAATGTGAAAAAATGATTTCGTAATTCTAAATAAAAGTAGAGGAAAATTGAACATCTTTTTTTTCTGGATCAATCTATTAGTTGTAGAGATATAGGTGAAAAGATTTTTATATTATCAACATCATCCACTTATTAATCGTTTTTGATAAAAAATATATAGATTTTGTTCTAGTTAAAAAGAAAAGTATTTTTCTTGGAAATGAAAATTTAATTATTTACATAAAATAACTATGATATTTGTTAATTATATTTCGTAGAAAATAGATATTATATGGAACAGATTTTTATTAATCGACGAATAAATATTAAGATGAAATAATAATTTAAAATAATTCTAAATGTTTGTCTCAATTAAGAATTATTTTATGAATATATAAAGAAAAATATTTATTCTACGCGAGGATTTCTAATAGTGCATAGTAACCTAGAGGAAACTTTCTTTTTTGTCTGGACTGATAGTAAAATGAAAACTCTATTTTCCTATGAGATATTTATATTAATACTCATTTAAAACAGAAAGACTAATGAGTATCTTTTGAATAACTTTTCATAGAAATAAGGTAGAAAGATGCAGTGTTCACTCTTCCACAAACTAGATGACGACACATGGAATGGTATATTTTTCTCTCAGATTTAAAAAGAGGTGCTGTGAAAAATGATATCTTTTTTTTTTTGAGCATCAATGTTAATGTAACCATCAGATATCATAATAAAATGTAAAAAAAATATATATATTTAAAATTTTCCCGTTTTCTATTCTTTATCTTTATTTCAGGATATGCAGTGCATGAGTTATTACTCAAATTGACGGCGAATGTATTGTTTTTATTCGCCGTTTCATACAATCATCGTTGGTTTGCTACAATGGTGAGTGCACGACATTCAAGTTATTCTTACACATTCGAGATGAAAACTCAGGCGAATTGAACATGAAATGTTTAAAGACGACAAAGATATCGTGCACTCAAGATTCCATTGCTTGGCAAACACCGGTTGTTATCATGCGCTGCGTATTATCATTCCGTTACGTCGTCTTTTATCGCGTCTTTCCGTTTCTACTTCTTCTCGTTCTTCCTAACAGAAGAATAAAAATAATTTTCTAACTAATGGAGCTTTTGAGGATGGCTCTAAAACAAATCAACCTTCTCAGGGATATCCGACGTTCTGTTGGTGACTCGTGCAGGCGTGCAGATGGTAGGCCTTCACAACATACATCAATGTATGTATGAATAGAAGCGTCCATTTCGTGATCGGCTTTTCGAAGATGATGATCATGGTCGTACTATTCATATGTACATCGATGTATGTTTGCCTAACCATTGCCGGCTTTGTCCACTGTACGAGCCAGCAGAATACGGAGGGTATCTCTGGTCGCGCGTGTGCGAAATTTTGCAGCTGCTTGCTTCGGCGAGCTTAGATTTCCAGATGGCCTATTTATTTTCTTGTTTAGAAAAGAACAATTACATTTTCTTTTTTACAATTTCAATGTTGTTTTTCACTAGAGCAATATGTGGATGATTTGCAGGAAGTGATTTTTTCCAAATTTCTTGAGCTTTTTCGTAATGTGAAAGTGCTTTTGAGTACTCGCCCATGTTATTATACACGAACCCGATGTTGTTGTAGGAAGAAGCCAAGTGGGGATGATTCGGAGGGAGAGCTATTTTACGGATTTCAAGTGATCGTTCGTACGATGAAAGTGCTTTGGGGTACTCGCCCATTTCATCATACACCACAGCGATGTTGTTATAGGAAGCAGCCAAGTCGGGATGATTCGGAGGGAGAGCTATTTTACGGATTTCAAGTGATCGTTCATACGATGAAAGTGCTTTCGAGTACTCGCCCATGCTATCATACACCAACCCAATGTTGTTGTAGGAAGTAGCCAAGTCGGGATGATTCGGAGGGAGAGCTATTTTCTGGATTTCAA